CTCCGACGAAACAGTTTGTCACAGCTCCTCGTTTGTTGTCCTCTTCTCTCTCTCTGCCTACGGTTTACCGGGCAGTTCTGTTTGTGACGATATATGCAGACACCCAGGAGACTGGCATTGCGATGCTTCGTCCTTTTCAGAAATTTCAGAAAATATGGCAGACGAGGTGGAAATGTTGTGCAGCATTGATATACGATCAACTTTTGGCTGCGCCATGGAGGTGAAATGTCATTATTTAAGAAATTTCATATTCGAGTTGGAAGCGAAATGTCATTATTCCTCAAAAAAAAAAAAAAAAAAAAGTATTCTCAGGGCACCCCCCTGGTCTGGATGAGATCTCATATGGATGGCATCCAGACTCAGCGCCAGGTTTGACTCCCAGTGGTCTTCAGGCCGGGGTTTGACATAGCCATGCAATTTGCCTTATAAGAGTGATGAGATTGTGAAGAAGAACGGACAATGGGGTTGCACGTGCACGTGGGTGTTGGTTCCGAGAGGTGATACGGTGGAAACACTGGAAAGAAAGATCGATTTGTTTTCATGAAGTCAGTAATTTATTTTTGTATGAAGTTACTCTCAGCTGTTAACGAGATTCCCACTGTCAGCCAAGGAAACGGACTCGGAAGAATCGGCGGGGAAAGAAGACCGTGTTGAGCTTGACTGTAGTTCGACTCCGTGAAATGACTTGAGAGGTGCAAAAGAAAAAGAAAAAAACTTTAATAAAGAAAAAAAAAAAGTAATCAAGGTAATCCGTTTGAAATTGCAATCTCTTAGTACAGATTTACAGTCCTGTTGAGCCAAACGTAATCTTAATTCAACCCTTGTTGTTATGCACAGTGTGTCAGAGCGGGAGCCCTAACAGTCCTTACATTCTTCCTGTCAGCTCTCAGTCTCTGATGAATAACATGCTGAGGTCCTCATACCTCTCTCTTGTCTTATGGGTGACGCAGATCCGTGGGGGAGGTCAGTTGTTCCTCGCACTGCCATGTATCGTCTCACATGCTATGGTTTTCGGAAGCCCTCTTCATAACTTGGACGAAGAGGTAGGTTCTCTCTCTCTCTCTCTCTCTCTCTCTCTCTCTCTCTCTCTCTCTCTCTCTCTCTCTCTCTCTCTCTCTCTCTCTCTCTNCTCTCTCTCTCTCTCTCTCTCTCTCTCTCTCTCTCTCTCTCTCTCTCTCTCTCTCTCTCTCTCTCTCTCTCTCTCTCTCTCTCTCTCCCTGCATGGCAATCTATGTGTGTATCATTGTGTCAGCCATATGAGTCAGGTGAATGCAAAATCCTAGTCAGTGGTATGGTGTGCATGGCAGCTGACATCTGGTTAGCTGGCATTCGAACATTTTGGCAACAGGTGCAATACTGAATGGCCAGTTGCAGGCATTGGCATAACATCTGCGTAGTTGATGGTTGAATTGCAAATGCCACTCTAGAGCTTTCAGTGGCAGATAAGTTCGCGTCGGGCCTGCTTCTGCAGTTTGCCTCTACCTCCCTTCCTGAAAGTAGATGGAGGAGATATTTGCTGGATACTCGGCGGCCCCACGTAACACAAACACTGCTGCGCTTGCAAGGACAGAGGCAAATCCAGAGAATGAAGATGGCAGACTGAGATGTGCAGTGTTCCCAAATGACATTATGATGTGCAGCGTCCCCAAATGACATTATGATGTTTGATTCTTTTCCGGAAATTTCCGCAATGGGGTCCCGCCTCGCTCAAACTGACGACATATCTATCAACTAAAGGAGGGCACTTTGCAAAACAAACAAAGAAAATAGCAGTCCACCTGAAGCACTCTGAAACCATTCTTTTTTTAATCTTTTGCCTTTTCCTGTGCAGTTCGTTCTTTTCTTTCTTTACTTTGGCTTTTTTCATCGTTTCTCGTTTTACTTCTTCATTTAGCTTTCCCTTTACTGTCTCCCCACCAATAGACTGGAGCCCCCTGCGAGTCAGCTAGCTGTGCATGCTTTTACCATCACTCCTATCTGTTGGCGCGGGCGGAATTTTCCAATTTATATTTATTAAAAAGCAAAGACGCCCTTCCTTTACTGTGCCTCTCATGCCCAAGGGTCGCCACGTTGGTGTAGTTGAGCATGAGCTGCCCACATCCCGGTGTGGCGTAGGCCCACTTGCACTCTGTGAAAAAGAGGCAGAGTTAAGGGAAAGGGGATAAGGAGAGGAAAAAAGTGGAAGGATACCAAGTAACAGAAGACAATGGGAGAGTAGGGAGGGTAAAATGAAGATGAAAGCCTAGGGGAGGATAAGAGAGGATAAGAGAAGACTCAGGAGTCGGCCTGTCCTTGATGACAGACAGGACATGGACTGTATGGATGAGGTGGGTGGTGACATGGAAGCCCCAGCTGTAAGGATGAGGTGGGTGGTCCATCTCTGCTACTTGCAGAACCTCAATAAAGCGCCCTTCCCTGGTATAGTTGCTACCCTCTGCCTCTTCGCAGGGATGATCCATATCAAGCTGCCGGCTACCCTCTGCCTCTTTGCAGGGGTGGTCGATGTTAAGCTGCCGGCTACCCTCTACCTCTTTGCAGGGATGGTCCATATCAAGCTGCCGGCTACCCTCTGCCTCTCCGCAGGGATGGTCCATATCAAGCTGCCGGCTACCCTCGGCCTCTTCGCAGGGATGGTCCATATCAAGCTGCCGGCTACCGTCTGCCTCTTCGCAGGGATGGTCCATATCAAGCTGCCGGCTACCCTCTGCCTCTTCGCAGGGATGGTCCATATCAAGCTGCC